AGTAGCTCACATTTATATACAGCTCTTCATGGTTTGTAAAAACACTTTACAAACATCATCTCATATGCTTCTTAAAATAAGGCATACATTTTACAGATGAAGAAACTGAGGCTCAACAAGGTAAAATGATTTGCCCAAATATACACAGCTAGGATTTGAACTCAGGCTTCCTGACTTCAAGCCCAGTTCTCTTTCTAGTATACTACATTGCGTCTCAAACACTGTTTAAGGGAACCCCTCTCCTCTCTATAATACTCTTTTCCTCATTGATTTGTACCCAGAGATTGGGGAAAAGATCAGAAGGTGCCCTTCTCCAGAGCTGTCTGGGCATGTACACAACCTCCCCTGCTGATGCCAGGGCATTGGCCAGCATCCTGAAGATCAAGCTGCTGCACCTCCCCCATCCCTTGCCCCATTCCTAGAAAGACGGATAGTGCTGGCTTTTCCTCTTCTTCTGTCAGCAATGACCCTCTCTATTTCACTGGCTCCTTAAGTAGAACCAACCTGAGATCTAGGTCTGGAGTCCTGAATGAAGGGGAGTTAACAATGATCTCAAGCGGCAGGTGCCATCCACACCTCGACAGCCAAGCACATCCCTTTGTTTCCCTCTACTCTGCTTCCAGGAGCAATTTTATTTCATTGCTAACTCGGCTTTTTAATTGTTGTACTTTAACTAGAGAACACAGGTTTGTACACTGCTAAGCAATCATCCTGGTGATTAGTATTGATCCTGGGTTTCCTGGGGTCTGGAGTCCCTTTACTCAGGAGAATTAAGTAACCTGGGATAGTGGAGAGCAGAAGGTAGGTTGATTGTGAAAGATCAAGCTATTCAGAGATTTTGATTCAAAAAACAAGAACAGGTATGTTAGGATCCCCCAACTTGGTGGATCAAGGGTGTGTGTGTGTGTGTGTGTTTAAGGGGTAGAAGGGCTCTATCACTATCCCTCCTGCTGAGCAATGATTCTCCCTTCCAAGTCTTTCTGAGACTGGAAAGAATATTCCATGTTTAAGGCCTAGGAGTGGCCAGCAAGGGTCCATGGACCTGCAAAGGGTCATTGGATAAACTTCACAGGTTCTGTGAACTTGAATGAGGACAAAAAAGTCATATATTTACTTCAGTATGACTGGTTTCCTTTGTAATCCTATGTATTTTATCTTATGCATTTAAAAACATTATTCTAAGAAGGGATTCATAGGCTTTACCATTCAAAGGTATCCATTACACAAAAAAACTTAAAAATCCTTGGCCTAGAGAATCTTGCATAGTAGATCTCTGTGTTTTGGCTTCCCTTTATAGGCCTCAAGGCTATGGAAATGTCCTCAATGAACCTATAGAACCACCTTGGTTGTAAACTCCAGGAATTCAGTATGATTCATTCAATAAACTTTTATTGAGCATAACCAACATGCCTCAAACACATTGATAAGTTAGGGGGATGTCTACCCCAAGCATGTGAAGACTGCCCCTGGTGGAAATGGTGAATGAGAACAATTTCTTCCAATGGCCAAGAAGGCAGCTGAAGCAGGCCTTGTGGATCATCCATTACACCCGAGACCCTTGCCAGTTGTCTTGACTTTTGTCCTACCACTGAACTTCAATGACTCTGGAAGAAAGACTGAGGTTGACAATGTTGTACAACTCTGCCTCACTTAAATCCAATTCAGTTGAAAGACAAAGACATCACCCATCACATCATTATGTCATTCGTCCTCTTCAAAAAAGAAGGCTGAACATTAGATCCTTTTATCAATCATTGGGAAAGATCCCAAATTTTGTTGTTATATAGTTTCTACCATCCTAGATCTTCCTGTCTAGTAGAGAGATGAGACACAAACACAGATAATTAGAATGTACATCAAATGATAAGGCATTAGAGAAATACAAAGAAAAATGCAATGTGAAGTGCGAGGAGGAAAGTCCTTACCTACAAACCAGAGGTGAGGACTTGGGAAGCGCTTCATGAAAGTAGTAGCACTTAAGCTGAGCTTTAAAGGATGGTAGGAATTTAATAGGTGAAGAGCAGGGCAGTGTATTCCAGGTATCTGGAATAGCAAGAGCATCAGCTTGGAAATAGGAGTACAGGTTAAAGCAGTGTGGCACAAAGTGACTAAAGGGGTATGATCATGGGGTAAGGCTGGAAAGGCAGACTAGTATCAGTTGTGGAGGGCTTTGAATGCCAAGCAAAGCAGTTTGAATACTGCTCAGTAGGTGACAAGCTAAAGCTTTTTTGTATCAGAGGAATGATATAGTTGAAAATAAAATTATTCCTACATCTGGATAAAAGAGCATTTTGGGCCAAGGGAAAGAAAAGAATGGATATGAGGAGACCGTTTAGGAGACTCTTGAAATTGTCCAAAGAGGATGGTAATGAGGACCTATACTAAGGTAATGGGAAAGGAGAAAGGAGAGGAACGGCAATGGACATCATGGTTAGAAATATACTGTTTTAAAAAGAGAAGAGCAGAGCATCTCTTTTTGGAGAGGAGCTCCAAGATATATATGTATAGAGGCAAAGCATCTTTCTGGCCTTCCCACATTTCCCTTTTTATCTCTATAGTTGGTTTTGACAGGAAGAACAGGGGTATGGGAAGGCGCATATTCTAAAAGGATTTGATTAAAGAAGATCTTTTGGAGAATGATAATGACATCACCAATAATGCAGCTGTCTAGAGTGTGGGCTGGAAGGGTAAAGAGGGGCCTTGTCCACCTGCTACCGGCCTGACTTGAAACTGGATAGAGGATGGCCTAGGGCAACTGTTTACTCTTGGGAACTATTGCAAAACTTGCTGTCTGGGGCCTTGGCAGCTGAGGAGAGAGGGAGGATGGAAACATGCCAATGCTTTGGAAGCCTGGGCTGACTCCGTTGAGCTGGCCATTGAATTTCAGTTCTGGGCTCCACAGCTTCCTGGGGTCATGAAAGCAGGGGAGAGACACAGGAAGAGGGGGAGGACAAGGGAGCCCTAGTGAAGTAGTTTTGGTGCAGTAGAAAGTACATTGGTCTTTGAGGATGTGAGTTTGATTGTTACTTTTGTCATTTATTATTCGTGTGATCTTAGGAAACTCATTTAACCACTTTGGGTCTCAGTTTTTTATCTACAAAATGAAAGGGTTAGACCAGATGACCTTTAAAATTCTTTCCGGATCTAAACCTATGATCCTTTGATGGTAGTATCTTCTCCTAAATGAGAGACATCCTTCTTGAGGCCACATAAATCGGAGATTTAGATGAGATGATCCTAAAGCTCCCATTTGAATTTTATTCAACAAACATTACATAAGAGGGATCTGACCAGGGGACTCTCCCAGAATGAGTTTGATGAGTTTACTTCTCCCCCTATAGAGCAGTAGTTTCCAGACTTTATATAGCAATGCCCACCTTTAAAAAAAAACAAAAGTCACTACAATTTTTGAGATACTTTACACAATATAAGTGTAATTGTTGAAAATGTCAATGAATCATCTATAATTTTTGAGTTATTTCCATTTTTACAAGTTGCAGTTTTTTTATTTTGAAAATTAGCTTATTACATTATACTTAAAAACAACGCTGTTGAGAAATACAACAGATCTTATGATACTTTGTTTAACTTTGAGTTTACACCCTTCAAAATCAACAAGCTGCTCAACACAGTCCAACCAAACAGAAGCCAGTGCCAACTGAAGGTGATGGTGCCCTATTCAACAGGGACGACTCCAACTTGACCTTGTTTACCTACAGTACATTAATGAATGGGCTTCTGCATTCAATGCAGAACAAATTTGACCCGTTACTCTTGCATTTGGTGACTTCAATTAGAAATATGTTTTTGCCAAAAATGGAATGAATTTATGCAGGAGCTATACTGGAAAATACCCAATAATTTCAGCCACTTCTTTGTGGTACCACAAACTTCTCCACCTTCAAGCTTTGAAAACTCTGGTTTGAACATGCTTATTGGCACCTTGTTAAGAGAACAAAGACAACTAGTCTTACATTTATCAAAAGCCTTTTAAAAATATATGTATACATATATATGTATATGTATGTGTATGTGTATGTGTATGTGTAGATATATATATATATATATATATATATATCTACACACACATATATATAAGAAATCAGTAGATTCTAGTGCTGGGCACTAGGTTAGATTAAGTAAGATTCCCCCTCCTCCCCATATCGCTACCCTTGAAAGGCTTAATGCTCAAGGTTCCTTTTTTTGTCTAGCTGGACTCTTCTGCCCACTCGCCTTCCTAGAAGGGGTGGCAGAAGAAGGGGAAGGGGAAAGCTGTGTCTTAAGACTCCTCACGGCCCCATCACCCCCTCCAGCACGGATGCTGCCAGAATTCCCTCCCCTTACTCCACCCTACGTGGAAAGGTCTGACCTGACTGCAGCTGTTCCTTGCAGCCTTACCCAATAAGCCAATGGGACTCACTATTTGCTAGACAAGCCCAGGACATGAGGACATTAAAGCCGGCTGGATCCAGTCGTGGGAGGGACGCTGGGCCTCCAAAGCTGGACCAGCCCCAATTGGGACCCCTTCACCCCTTCTCCCCCTGCCCACGGGTAGGATCACCATGGCTACTCGCCCCGCCCAGGGATCAGGCCAGAGCCCACCGCCCCCACACGTGGCACCCTATCCTCCGAGAGCCGTCCCTGCCCATCTCCCCACCAATGGCCCCGCCCCCGAGGAGGGGAGAGAGGGAGGGCGGAGGCGCAGGACTGTTCGGTGACGTGAGGAGAAGGAGGGAGCGTCTGTGAGGTCAGGAAAGGCGAAGGCGGGACCGAAGTTGGGAGGGGCGGAGCGAGGAGCGGAGGCTTCTCGGCCTGGCCGGCGGGGAAAACAGGACTACAAATCCCAGCAACCCTCAGGCCTGCCCCCGTGGGCGGGGCCACAGCCGGGCAGCGAATGGGAAGAAAGCCTCAGGAACAGGCTAGGAGACACGTGTGGCCAATCCCCGGGATCCCCCAGCCATGAGCAGATGGAAGGGGGTGGGGGGGAGGGGCTTGGCTAGACCCCGGACAAAAGCCGGGGCTGGGGCGGCAGCTGAAGGCACAAGGTCCTAGGGGCGAGCAGGCGGACTAGTGGTTGCAACTAGGCCTTCGGAGGGACTAATACCGACAGGCGGCCGCAGAGAGGTGAGTTGCGGGCGGCCGCGTGGGCCGCGGCAGGGATCCCTTTCCCAGCCCGCCCGCATCCCCCCCTTCCCTTTAGCCCTACGACGGTCGCATCGTGTGGACCCGGCGCCTGGGCCCCTTCGCCCTGGAAGTTAGCTTGCTCGGAGCTCGAAATCGCCTTTCTCTGGTCATCTTTGCATGATCCGCTGCCATGGTCTGCACACTGACCCCCTCCCCCATCAAGCCGGCCATCCGCGCATACGCGCGCGCAGTCGCGACTCTGGACTTTGCCAGGGTCCTCTCGGAGGTGGTGTTTGCCTTTCTTCCCGCCTCTGCCCCCCCATCCGCGCTTCCGTGGCACCTGTCGCTACCCGGTTTTGTTCCCAGCCGAGGCTCCACCCCTCCCTTCCCCGCCTCCACACCCAGGGAGCCGGGCACACGGAGCCGGCCCAACCCTGGAGGAAAGGAAATGGGAAAAGCGCGGTCAGCTCGAGCAAGCCCAGAGAACTTCCCCGCCACACCCGGTGATCTTTACCACCCTCCCCCTCCAGCGTGGGTTTAGGGGTTCGAGCCCCACTTAGGCCAGTAAGGGGTAGTAGGGGATGGCAAGTGGGCGCGGTTCTGTGACTCCCGCGTGTTGTCCCGGAGTTCTCCCAGGTCTTGGTTTGTGGGAAAGGACATTGGGAGGTGGGGTCTTCTTGGGCTGGAATGGGCGGAGCCGGGGGGGGCGGTGCGGGGATTAGGTGTTAACGTGAGGCCATCTCGTCCGGGCTGCTGTATCCATCCAGATGGTCGGAATGACTGGAGGACCTCCCCCCACTCCCATCCCCTCCTCCTCTTCTTCCTCTGGTCTGGTTGGAGAAGAAGGAAAGGGCATGGCTGGTGGGGATCCAGACTCTTCTCTGAACTCACCTCCCCTCCCAAAATATTGGCTAGCACAGTATACCACTTAGGAGTTCTGGGCTCTCCACTCCACGTGAATCACTCTTTGGAAGGTAGTACCAATGACCAGGTTGAATCTGAGCGTTTGGATGTAAGGCAAGGGTTTAAAAAAAATTTAAAAAAAAGGCAAGCAATTGGGAGGGGATTGAGGGTTCTTATTTCTGACACCTTTTAACGTGATTCCAACCCCCTTACTTTTAATTTAGACTAAGCTTTAGCTCCCTTTCCCAGTCCCTTCTGTATTGGTGAGTTAGAGAGAGGCACACCCACCTCCTGGTGAATCTCATTACGTTGTCAAGCCTGGCACTTCTCTTAGAAGGCCCCAGTCATAGGGGATCCCCAGTGACAGTGGGATAGGCTTTAAGATCTCAGGAAAGGCCTTAGGGTCCTTGGGGTGATACTAGTTTAGGGGAGAAGGAGAGGCAATAAGGGTTTTTCAACTAATTTGGGTGTCTCACACACCACATAATACACACTCATATATAATGTCCCATGTATTAGGCCCTCAAAAGGGGACCCTGAAATGGACTGCTACTAGTTCTGTTTCAGGCTTGTCGTCAAAAACCCCGTTAAGATTTCTTTTGTAGGATAAAATGGAGGGTAATATCCTTCTGTCAAGTCACACTCAAAGAAAAGACCTTTTCAGGGCTTCCTCCTCATTTCTTATCCTGTACCTTCTGCTGGCTGTCCTGTTTTTCTCTGTGACTGCTATACTTTGGAGAGCTGATACTTGTCTAGATGCGGAACTGGGCTGTGGGGTCCCTCCTTCTGTCTTAACATAAGATGCCTCTGAACTTTAATTTGCTAGGATCCTTGGTGAGGAGTAGATGTTAATTCTCCTGTTATTCATCCTTTTACATAAAAATGAGTATAGCCTTTTACCCTGACTGGTCTATAAATCACCCCTCTGTTTATTAGCCAATACTTTTCTTTGTCAGCAGTGATAGATTCCTGGGGCTTTAGTGGTGAATCATCTGAACCACTAACTCTATCCCCACCCCCCATGCCCAACCTGAAATTGAAATTCAGTTGAAATTGAAAATTCAATTTCCTAGATAGTTGGCTGAAGCTCTCTAGTGGCTTCAGCTGTGGTTGGTGAACTTATTTAACATAGGCCCTTCAGCCCTGGCAAGATACAAAGAGTCAGTTAATCCCTTCTTCTGACTTTAAGATTCTGGGTTTTAAAGTACGTTGGCCTCGCACTTGGTTGGGTTTGCCTTACCTGTGGACAGTGAGTGAATGAACACCAGCTTCTGTACTACTCTAACCAGCAGACTCCCTGTCTCAGTCTGGAAGGACCTAGCCTTTGGAAAAAATGCCATGAGTGTAAATACAGCTCCCCACAGTACCATCTAATTTGTGTTTCTCCTCCTGAAATGTCCCTTTAGGTATCTGATCTCAGATCTGGGATTTGCCTGGGAAGCAGGGCAGGCTCTGACCTATAGATCTTTGCTGAGGATATTATTTGAGGATCAGAGATTCATAATCATGATTGGGTTTGGTGGAAGAATGGGGTATGATCCATAGGAGATGACTTATTGGCCCCTCTCCTCTCTTAGTTGCGTGAGCACCTTTCCTCATTGTCTGAAGGATGTCCTTGGTGACTGGTAATTTCTTCTTGCCATCTGTTATTTATTCAGTGTGGTTTTTTTTTTCCTTTTTCTTTGAGTCCCAGTCACCAAAACCCATTAATTTTTAGCAAACAGATCCTCTTCGTCTTCTCCACTACAGTTTTGTTAATGGAAATTATTTGAGGGAGGGGGTTAGAATGCCAGAATTCTAAAGTATTTCCCAAGTGGTTGCATTTTGCTCTCTACTCTTCTACCCCTAATTGGCACTTAGGTAGGTCTGAGATGTTGGGGCATCTGTGACGGTGTTACAAGGACATATTATCTAAATTGATCTTGGGGATGGGGAGTGAGAAGGGACTATAGAATGAACTTTCCACCTCCATCTCTACCATGGCATTTGTCTGCCCCAGCTTTATTTAAGGGGAAAAAGTAAGGTGTGTCCCATTCTGTTTCAAGACCAGTTTTTCTGGTCCCAGAGTCAAGAAGGTTGGGAAATTGTCTTTGAGAACTGGGGTAGGTGGAGGTGGGGTTGGAGTGGGGGGTGCTGGTCTGGGAAGTCAGAAGAATCAGCCCCAAATTAGGAAGAAGCGGCTAGGGACACAAGGCAGTTGCAAAAATGAAAAGGCCTCCAGTTGCTCTCACTGCCATACCTATTGGGTCTTTTCTGTAGCATTGAGAGCTCAATCTGATTACACCCATTTTATAGACTCCCTCTATTGCAGAAGTGTGTTTTTTGAGGGAGGAGTCTCTGGGTGTCCTATAGATAAGAAAGATGATTCTCTAGGTCGGGAAAGGGTATAATATATTCAGACATGTGAAGTAAAAAAAGATTTCAATCAAACAAAATAAAATTTAAAAGGATGCGGGGAGGAGGAAAGCTATACATCCTCCGTAAGTGGAGAAGGGAGAAGACAAGGGGATGGGGGCTGGATTGTCTGACTTTCAGACAAGAGCCTCTCTCATTAACATGCTTCACTTCTGATCCCTGGATGGGAACAAAATTCCACACATGGCAAGACCTACAAAAACCCAGATGAACACTGGCCAGAAGCCACTAACCTTGACATTTTCCCCAACAAACATAGCATTGCCTTTCCTGATCTTTATGTGTCCAAGGGAAGAAAGCCTTGTTTTCTTTGTAATTTCACTTATCCAGGCATGGCAGAAATTCTGACTATATGTTCCCCCCTCCTCCTTCATCTTTTTTTCTTTCTCCATTGGCCTCTCCCTCCCTTTCCCCAACCTGTTACTCCTGCTATCTTGTGGGAGGACAGGATTGGACAAGGGAGGGAGGGTGGGTAGGTAGGTGGAAGGAGAAATCCTCCTCAGGGTTTTGTTTGTTTCCTGGTGTGTCAAGAGGATGCTAGGATTTGGGGTTCCTAAAAATAAATTAATAAAAATTCACTTGGTTCTCCCAATGTCAGGGAGTCTCCTTCTGTAGGGTCCCCAGGTGCCCAGCTGAAATAATCATTTGTTTAGAGCCTTAGAGATTGTCTGGTCCAACCCACCCTTGTTTTACATCTGGGGAAAATGAGGCCCACAGAGGTGCCTTGTGGACACATAGTTGGTGGTAGAATTAGTTAGTTTAGGAGTGACTGGTACGTGTGGAGTTCCTGAAATGCACAATTACTACAGCTAAATGAACTGCCTGGGAGGCCAATAGGCTCATTGGTCTGCCAGGCCCACTGGTCTCCTCCTCAGTATGATAGGAATATTCTGGAGGGAGGGTCTGATTTGGTAATATGTTTTGGAAGCTACTGGCCTACCTCAGTCCTTATTGCCAGCCCACAAATACTTGGCTCTGACAGTGAGCAAAGACCTTAGCTTGTCCAGAGTCCTGGGGTAATAGATGTAGCTTCTTTGGGGAGTAGAGTTAGAGGGGAGTGAGGTCAAAATTGTGGTTAGGGATTCAGAGAGAAATCTAGAAGGGGATTGTGCAGTTCTGGTTGGGTGCATTAGAAATTGGGGAGCTGTGTGTGCATGCTGGGTAACTTGGGGTCACAGGAGTTTCCTCTGTGTTGTATCTGAACCTCCTTAGCTCAAGAGTTCTTAACCCGGGTTCTGTGAACTTAATTATTTAATATTTTGAGAACTGTATTTCCATGTAAGTGAGTTCCCTTGTAATCTTGTGTATTTTAGGTTTTATACTTAAGAACAGGAAGGTGTCGACAGGTTTCACCAGACCAGGACACACAAAAAAACAGCTAGCTGCTCTTTCTCACACCCCCTCCCCATCATCCATAAAACGTGGTAGGAACGTAGAGTTTCTTTCTGTTAAAATACATTGCCAGCCTGGCATGAAAGCAGAGCTGAAATTAGTTCATCAGAGAAAGAGCTATTCCTGACTTCTTCCATGGTTTTGTTCTTCTGGCATCTTTTATCCTTCCCTAGTATCAGGGAAAATTCCACTTTATCCCCCTTGGAGCCTTTTTCTGCTTTTCTGTGAGAGATGCTGAGATCATCTGTTCTGGTGTGTTTGGAGGGGGGAGTTGGAACCTTAATGACGAATGACTCTACCCAGCTGGAACTAAACAAGGGTCTTTATCTGGGAGTCCCAAGCCATGAGACTAGGGAGGTTTGGGGATGAGGGAGAGATTAAGGTAGGTTCTCTCTTTGCTGCCTCTTCTGACTGGGGGCCTTCTCTTGGGCAGGCAGTGTCTGTCCCTCTTACAGCCATGTCAGCCAAGGCAATATCGGAACAGACGGGGAAAGAGCTTCTCTACAAGTACATCTGTACCACATCAGCGATCCAGAACCGATTCAAGTATGCTCGGGTCACCCCTGACACCGACTGGTGCCACCTGCTGCAGGACCACCCCTGGCTCATTAGCCAGGTCAGCTGCCTACTAGACCTCTGTATTGGGGGTGGGAGGTGGGTGGCGGTAGGATAGGAAAGCAGCCTTGTTAGGGAGATGATACTGACACATCATCGAATAATTATTATTAGATAGCAGTCTATACTGTGCTGTGTCCACAGGTGTTGCGGTTAGAAAGGGTGAAGCTGGTCTGAACCAATGAATCCACAAGCTCTGCTCTGTTCCAGGCCCTGTGCTTCATGCAGCAGATACAAATACAAAAATGATGGTCTCTACCCTCAAGGTGCCCAGGTTCTATTGAGGGGGAGAGATATGATATGGTGACAGATACGTACATGCAGAGCATATGTGCACAAAATACATGCACAGTGATGTTGGGAGGGAGTTGGGGAGGGGATAGGAGGTATACCTTGAAGGAGGCAGATTTGAGCTGAGCCTTAAAGGGAACTAAGGGTTCCAAGATATGGGGATGAGGAAAGGCATGAGAGAAGGACCAGTGCAAAGGCTAAGGTGGAAAACAGAAGCAAGATGGCAGGCAAGCCAGGTGTTCCATTGGAGTGGAGCAGTTGAGATGGTGTCTGGTAGGGCTGGGAATTAGAGCTAGGTGTTGAGAGTCGCACAAGATTGGGATAACCAGAGGGGAGAATCTAAGATCTTTTGGGACCGAAGTCTCTATTCTCTCCCGATGAGGCAACTTGGTGGTACAGTGGATAGAGCGCTGGACCTGGAGTCAGGAAGACCTAGGTTCAAATCCAGCCTCAGACACTTACTAGTTGTGTGACTCTGGGCAAGTCACTTAACCTCTACCTGCCTCAGTTTCCTCATTTGTAAAATGGGGGTCTTAATAACACCTACCTTCCAGGGTGATTGTGAAGATCAAATGAAATAATATTTGTGAAGTGCTTAGTGCAGGGCCCAGCACATAGTAAGTGTTTAATAAATTCTTGTTCTCTTCCTCTCTCTGTCCCCTTCTTTCAGCAATTGGTGGTCAAGCCAGATCAGCTGATCAAGCGTCGAGGGAAGCTAGGCCTGGTTGGAGTCAACCTCAACTTAGATGGTGTCAAGTCCTGGCTGAAGACCAGGCTTGGAAAAGAGATCACGGTGAGTGTCGAAGGAAAGAAATTGAACTCTCTAGGGGACCCAGGGTTGGGCCACATATGCTGGCATTTGGACCAAACTTATTTAGGTCTGGATTACATCTGTATTGAATGGTACTCAGGCTTCCTTGGGCCCCCTCTGCCTTTTACTACCCTCATAGTGTAGGCTCATGGCGTACCAACCCATCAGTTACTGTGGTAGAGATGATGCAAGAGTAACTATTACATACATCCCGAAATCATTTGTGAGATTCCTGTTAGAGATATCCTCTGTTAACATGGCTATCAGAGGGCACAGTGTCCTGGTAAGCAGTGTAGATGAGGCTGAGCCAGTAGTGATGACTACCTGTGTGAAAAGCTTGTTTTGACTGTAGACAGCAGAGCCAAAGCAAATGTTAGCTAAGGTGAGAGGGAATAAAGGGATAATTAATCTATGGTTTAAGCTCAAGAACAGGAGTTTCTCATTTTCTCTCCTAGGATTTGGAATAGCATCAATGGTGGTTTGGTTTTTTTTTTCCCTATACCTGATTTTACTGTGGCAGGACCACACAAAGCTCGGATATTGTGGGTGGTGGGTAGGAGGGGAATAATGACATATTTTTTGCATCAGGTGCACAGGGGGTTAAGGAAGGAGGAAGATGGTTCAGAGATAAGGTTTGGAAAGGGGAGAGTGGAGGAAGGGATGAGCTTCTTCCTTTTTTTTTTTTTTAAATGGGAACCCCTCAGAACAATTTCCCAGGGTTTCAGATGGGGGACTAATAAAGTTATATATATTTTTTCCTTCCCCAACTTCTGAATGTCCTTGCCTTTGGGGACTGAAGACTGGGTGTGTGTTTGTGTTTTTGTAGAAGGGAAATAACGCATCCCTGGGGATGCTGTCATCTTCTTCCCCCTCCAGTCAGGGAGGGGGGCATCTGGGCAGCCGTCTGGCTAGGCGGGAGCTGTGATGGATCCCTGTCTGGGTCCCTGACTCAGCGGTGACGCATGGAATTAAGTCAGGGGACAAGGGGATAAGCCGTGTCTGAAGGAGGGAGCAGTCTGCCAATGCCTCAGTCAGACTGATTAGCTCTGTGTGGTTCCCCCTAACTCCCCAGGAGGGTCAGTGTCAAAAAGCTTTTTAAGTGTCCTGATTTATCTCCTTTTCCTTCCTCCATTGTGTATTACCTCACTACCCTTGGGCAGCAAGTTGGCTCTTTATTCTACCCAAATAAACTCTTATTTCTTCTCCCTACCCCCCATTTTGGGAAGCAGATGTGGTGGATCTAGTCATTACATGCTATTCTTCAGAGGTGGTATGGAGAAGTCATGGAAGGCTCATGTAGGTTCCGTCTCTATAAACCTCACTGCATAGGAGAAACCTCCCCCTATGTTTGCCAGGGGCAGGTTCAGGCTGGTGTGGCGGCAGGGGAAGTGTGTGATGATCTAGGAAGATCTCCTTAAGCCCAGATATCCCTATCCCTCTAGCTCCTGTTGCCACGGGTTAGAGCCCAGGGGCAGGTTCTGTCTCAGTGGTCCTGACCTTCTAAACGGGAAGCAATGAGAGATTGCTTACCCTCAGCTCCCAAGATAAGATTTGTTCCATATTCAGCTTCTACCTTTGTTTTTTTTCCAGATTGGCAAGGCCAAGGGCATCCTTAAGAATTTCCTCATCGAACCCTTTGTCCCTCACACTCAGGTGTGTATCAACTAACCCGTTGACAAATATTTATTCATCAAACAATCAGTAAAGTATTTACTAAATGTGTTGCCAAGAATTGTATTAAGTACAGATAAAGAGACAAAAGTGAAAATTCCTGTCCACGAGGAATTTATCTTGAAGGAGAGATAGTTTCTACAGATAGAAGCACCTACTATGTGCCAGGCCCTGTGCGTCCAGAAACACCCCTAGCATTCTTCTTTTCCCCACTCCTTTTGTCCCTTTGTTTTTGTTGACTTGCAAGGTGTTTAAAGGGAAAATCAGACTGATAGAAAAGCAGTTAGATTTGGGAACTGGAGCCTGGAGAAGTGGGTTAAGGGGGAGAAGAGGGAGTGAGAAAATGAATATAACTTGCCAGATGGGAGGAACTAAGGCCTGAAGACAAAGTGAACTTCCTATTGTCCAACATGTGGAACTGGGTCCATGCTGGATCGGGTTAAACTGTTCTGCTGTGTCTGGAGATAACAGGCATCCCCCTTGTGTATGTGCTTTTACAGGGAAAGATGTTAAGCCAGCATTCCATGGGTGAACAGTCTCGTCCCCCTGTTTTTAGAAGTTAGGCTTACATCTAGTGGCACCTTGGGTATCATGCAGAGCCCAGGGCTGACTCCTGCAGTTCTTGCCTTTCCTGTTTCTCTGGGGTTGTTAGTTCCTGCCTAATTGTTTGCCCAACCTCCCAGGCCGAAGAGTTCTACGTCTGCATCTATGCCACTCGAGAAGGGGACTATGTCCTGTTCCATCATGAGGGTGGGATGGACGTTGGGGATGTTGACACCAGTGCCCAGAAGCTGCTGGTTGGAGTAAATGAGAAACTGCACCCTACTGACATCAAGCAACATCTGCTGACTCATGTCCCTGAGAGCAAGAAAGAGTTGAGTGTGGGCAAAGGAGTGACCCCTCTAGGGTGGTGAGGGGAGAGGCAAGGTGATCCCAGGGAGAAGTAGTGCATCCAACTTGGTCCTTATGGGAAGGAGCAGTCTAGAAGGGCTCTGTTTTTATCTGAGATACCCCTAATCCCCAGTGACATTAGTGTGACACCCAAGCCTTGATTTATTATGGGGTTAGGGGGGATGTGCAGGGGGAACATGGGACAGAGAGGGTAGTGGAGACAATCCAGTCCATATTCTTTTATCCTAGGATCCTAAATTTTCTTGGAAAGGAGAAAAAAAGCAGTTAGGCCCTTTAACCTATGGGGCAGTGAGAGATGACGTCATGCAGCAAAATCCAAGGCAGACAGAAGCTGTCTTCCCATCTGGGAGAGGATTGAGTCAAAGAGAAAAATATTCATCATCTGCCAGTTATGCCCTCTCCTTGTCTGACAGCTCCTTTCTGCCTCAGTGCCCCAAGGACAGGTGCTAAGACAGACAGAGCCTCTGAGATGAACCATTTTGCAGGGAGCAGACAGGGTTGAGCTGGGTCTAAGCATCAGGGAATTGAAGCTGAGAGTGTGTATGTCTCCCTTTCCTCCCTCCCCTCCCTCTAAGCTGAGAGATCTCCCCTCATGGATGACTCTGTTTCTCTCAACTCAGGATCTTGGCCAGCTTTATTTCAGGACTCTTCAACCTCTATGAAGACCTCTACTTCACCTACCTTGAGATCAACCCCCTTGGTAATGTGGATCTGCCACATGGGAAGGAGGGAGAGGTGGGGAGAAAATGGAAGCTGTAGCTGCAGCCTCCTGTTGGATTTTGCCAGAGTAGCTGCCCTTGGTAGCAGGTGTGCATTAGGAGTAGGTAGGGAGGAAAGGAAGGAAGGAGATGCTTCAGTCTCCAGGTAGGACATCCAGAGTCTGGGAGGGGGAAGTCCTTACTTAAGACCCCTGAATTTGCTTCTAAAATATGTTAATAATTGTATTTCAGTATTATTGGCTTCCTTTGTACTCCTCTGTGTTTTGTGCTATGCATTTAAAAACATTGTTCTGGGAAGGAGGTCCTTAGGCTTTACCAGTTAGCTGAAGGGGTCCGTGATCCCCCCCCCCAAAAAGGGTTAAGAACCCCTGGTCTAAGCCTTCTCGAGTTGACCCTTGGTCTTTCAGGACTGGCGATCTCTCTAGCCTGTTCCACATTTTGAATTCCTTGCCTTGGTGAATGTTATTGTTGACATCTGCATGGGTCCTTTCTGTTGCCCTTCAGGTCAGTGTCTTCCTGCCAGGACCTGCCTCTGCTTTATCCTAGCCCTTCAAAAGCACCTTCCTTCTGCTAGTTTTGTGTCCTCAGACACCTTCTTTCCCTTCCCTTCCCAGAACACACACCCCAGCACTGTTCCTGATGAGTTAGTCAATCATTGACACACTTCAGAATGAGCCAGTGAGTCAGGCTGTGACACGGCCCTTTGGTTTGGCAGCCTGGAGTGGGGGGAGGAGGGAGGCTCAGGCGCCTTTGGCCGCTGCTGCTTGGTACAAAGTCCAGAAAGCCAGGAAGTAAAATCATTTGCTCTGAGCACGGCTGATTTGGCATTCTTTTTAACGAGTGGAAGGAGGAATCTCTAGCCAACTTAATTATCCAAATGGACCCTGGGGGCTGGGGGTGGGAGAGGGAAAAAAAAGAGGTGGATTTGTTCTGAGCCAGAGTTAAATTAACCCTGACATTTGGGAGAAGGGATGGCAGGGAGCTTGGTTCTGTCCTCCTCCAGCAGGAAAACAGGCTACTCCCTTATCCTGGAGCTGGCTTCTCCCTTTTGGGAGGTCCTAGGCCATGGGGTACAGTGGAAAGTGAGCTTGATTACTAGTCAGACATTGCATTCAAATCCTGGTTCCACCAGTTACTTCACTGTGTGGCCTTTGATAAGTTACTTAAGCTCTGTGCTTCAGTTTTCTCACTTGAAAAATGCTGGGGTTGGATTAGATGATGTCTCTGGTCCCTTTTAGCTCCAAGTTAGGGGTTTTTACATTTGTAGGGGGTGGCCCAGATTCCTATGATAGTCTAAGGAAGCCTTTGGACCCCTTATCAGAATAGTATTTTTTGATTCATCCAACAAAACACGTAGGATTACAAAGGAAACCAACCATATTGAAATACAATGATCAAAGTAGTTTTTAAGCAAAGAAACAAGTTCTCTGACCCCAGGTTAAGAACACCTGCTGTGTTCAGGGATGCTAATGAGCTGAATGTAGCTGCAGAAATGTGTAGCTGGGACACAATTGCATTTCTTTTTAGGGAGGAGTGGGATGGGGAGAACAATGGATAGAGTTGGCAATTTATATTAAAGCAAGAAAAAGAACATTGCCTTGAAAGCCCTGCTATAGGTAGGATCATTGATTCTTAAGAGGGTAAACCAGCCTTCCAGACCAATCAAAAATGAACCAACAACTCATTTTTCTGAAGCATGCTTTCCTTGGAACCTAGCCTGCGTTCTTTTGGGGTCTAGGGAATCATCAGATTAAGGCCCATGGCTGTGAGGGGGAGCTTCAGGGGACACAAGAGAAGGGGGAGGGTAGGTAGGTCTCCCAAGGGCCCTGGGGTGGACTCCTGCCTGACTACTCTTCTTTCCCCAGTTGTGACAAAGGATGGCGTCTATATCCTGGACTTAGCTGCCAAGATTGATGCCACAGCTGACTACATCTGCAAAGTGAAATGGGGAGACCTGGAATTTCCTCCCCCCTTTGGGCGGGAAGCTTATCCAGAGGTAGAACCCCATTCCCCCACCCTCCCACCCCTCTCCTCTTATCCTTTCCACCTATCCCTATAGAGCATTGCTCAATGACAGGGTAGAGGCTTGGTTATTTGGTAATCAAGGGAATCTTGTAGATAATGCAGACATGGAGGGAGGGTAAGGGTATGTGTTTGAGTGCTATATGGGGCAGGGCAGGGGTGAGGGCAGAATGAGGGGAGTCTGTCATTCTCTGCTCTTCATCAAGGGAGATAGATTGCTGAAGCCCAGGCTCCCTTGGCAGTCTCAGCCAAGAAAAGAATGATGAGTTTGATTTAATTTTCTTAAAACACCCTCAGACAGAGTTGGCAGTGGGAGATGAATATCTGCAAAGCCTTTGTATCCTGGCCAGAAATCCTTTTAAATGTTCTTCTCAATCTACCTCCCTAGGTTCAGGCTTTTAACTTGATTGGATGGCTTCTGTTCTTTGCTGTCTTCCAACCATTTCCCTCTGAGCTGAATCAGAAGGCGGCTCTGGCTGCTCTTTCAGAATGTTAATTGACCTCTTGCCACCACCCCTACCACCTTTAAAAGTCTTTACCTTGAGATTAGGCATTATTAGGCCATCTAGGCTGAGGGAAGAGTCTGGGGCTAGCAAAGGAGATTTCTGGGGGTGGGGGGTGGGGGGTGGGGAAAAACAGCGGGTGGGGGTGGGGAGGGAGGAGGTGGGAGGTTAGTAGGAGATAAGAATGGGCGAAAACGGAGAGGAAAGGGAAGGGTCCCATCCTAGACATGGGCCGAAGGAGGAATTAAGGCAGCAGAGGAAGGAGAGCTGGTAGGTTTGGCCCAAAGAGATGCCTGATGCAGAGGATGATGATACTGAGGGCATAATGTTCTCTTTTAAAAACCTTGTCTCTCAGAAATGAGGGGCCCTGCCCAGTCTCCCCCTGCCAAAGTCAGTTTAATGACCTCGTACCAAGTGTCTCTTGAGAGAGGGAGGTATCTAGATTGTCTTCCAGTTTGGGGGAAAAGATTGGCTGGGGGTAGCGGAGCAAAGTCATCTGTGGACAGATTGCCTAGGCCAGGAAGAGACCATTCATTCTGTGATTTCCCCCAGGAAGCCTACATTGCTGACTTAGATGCCAAAAGTGGGGCGAGCTTGAAGCTGACCTTGCTTAACCCCAAGGGAAGGATTTGGACGATGGTGGCTGGAGGTGGTGCCTCTGTTGTATACAGGTGAATTTAGGGAAGGGGGAAGTACTGGTAGAGAGGAAGGTGTTTTTCCACATGACCTATCCCCTTCCTTCTCTGGAGAGTGGGGATTAGAACCTCAAGCAGCAAATGAGAACACTTTTCTAGATTTTTAGTTCTCTTCAGTCTTGTTGTGACCTATGACACAATGTCTTAGAGACCATGTCTGCCCACCTGCTGCAAGGAGAGGGCCTCTCCAAAGTGCTTTGGGAAAGGGCCCATGGCATAGATTTTATACATTAGTTTTAAAGCCAGAAGCAAGGAAAATCTGTGTGTTCTCTAGAACTGTTTCCTGGGGCTAATTTTACCTGTTGCTTTAGTTACTAGTCAGTCTTCTTGGACATGGATTGAAATATACCGTGCCGGGTAACTGGCTCAGAAAGAGAATGCCATGTAGAGCCTGTATCAGATTGCATGCTGTCTTGGGGAGGAGGAGGAGGAGGGAACAGGGAAACATTTAGAATTCAAAATCTTAAAAAAGTGAATGTTGGAAACTAAAAATAAATTAATAAAAGAGAGAATGTCAGTCTGTAAAAATAATAAAAGTCTGTAAAAAAATAACACAACCATTCATCCATATGCTAGTTCCCCCTTCCCCTCCTGCCAGTGCTCTGTAGGGGTGGTTCCATGTTAAGATGTTATAATATTATACTGGCTATGGAATTAGGAAGTCCTGAGTTCAGATCTTGCCTTTGATATTGGCTAGCTGTGTGGCCATAGGTAAGTCACCTCACTGCTCTGAGTCTCAGTTTTCTTACCTGTAAAGTGGGAGATCCTACCTATAGCACCTACCATACAGAGTTTAGAGGCTCAGATGAGATGAATTCTTTAAAGTGACCCACAAATTTTAAGGCGCAATACAAGTGTCCATTCTTATTTATCTGACCTAAATAGCATCAACTGATGGTTTATAAGAGCATCAGATCACAGATTTAGAGCTGGAAGGGACCTTAGAGGTCATTGAGACCAACTCCCTCATTTTATAGGGGAGGAAAAGTAGGCAGAGAGAGGCCAAGTAGCTAAGATGTGTCTGAGGTGGATTTTGAGCTTCTTGTCTTCTGTTTGGCCCTCTATCCACTATACCATGCGCCCTGTCTGTAGTAAGATTGCCTACACTTAATGTTTAACCCCAGGTTGTAAGCTTTCCTATCCAATCCCCTTGTTCATGCTGTCCACCTCCAGTAGAATGGATGTTCCTTGGGGGTAAGGACTGTCTCTGGAGCCTCAATGTAGTGGTCACTTAGTAGACACTTGTTGATCCATTGGTGGTTGGATAACTAAAAGTGAACTATAACCTCCGTTTTCTTGCCCCAATCACTTTTTTCACAGTGACACAATCTGTGACTTGGGGGGTGTAGAGGAACTGGCTAATTATGGGGAGTACTCAGGAGCCCCCAGTGAGCAGCAAACCTATGACTATGCCAAGACCATCCTCTCCCTCATGACCCGGGAGAAGCACCCACAAGGTGAGACGGTTCCCCCTGCCCTCCTCCAAAAGAAAGCCTCCATCTGATCCTGCCCCCAGGGCCTGATAGAACACTCTGCCCCCCTCTTTTTTCCATCTTGTAGGTTATCTGCATGTTAACCCTTGGCCTGCTTTTTAATTACCAGCTGACTTTCCTGCCCACTGTAATTGGTGTGTGCTCAGGACAGGAATATAGGCTAGTTCCATCATTCTCATATGCCAGACTTGGTTAAAAAGGGTAGTCTTCTGCATCAGAAATAATAGTTGAGGAATTGTCTGCAGTTTGGAATCTCTTGCTTCATGGTGTGTGTCATTTACAGCTCTGGGCCCGAAAGGTCCAGGAGGAGTTGTCACTTCCATCTTATGTATTCTCTGATGGCTCTGAGGTCAGTTACAGAAGAACTGGTCAGTGGGTGAAAGGGATGGCCCAAGTCCAGGCTTAATAAGAGCCTGGGCTATTTCTGCTTCCCTCCTAGAAAAGTAAATAGTGGTTAATGTAGGTTGTTAATGTGCTCTGTGGTTTAAGAACAAAACACCACCTGGGGAAAAGGACCATAATCAATAGTAAATGTGTAGCCAACACAAGCCTCAGAGAATGGTACATACCAGGGAGCCCCTCCCACCACCGGAGGACTGAAAGATTTTGTCTTTCTTCTTTTACTGGGGTTAGTTTGTGACATGCTAGTCATTGTCCCAAAACTGATCTCTTTTCTATCCTCACCTCAAACTTAGGCAAAATACTCATCATTGGAGGCAGCATTGCAAACTTCACTAATGTTGCGGCCACCTTTAAGGTAAGGAACTCTTGTGGGTAGTAGCAACTTCTGGGGAGGAGGGGTGACTGGGAGGAAAGGTAAGTGTGTGTACGTCCTAGGGATTGAGGCGCAGGCCAGGGGTATTATCTGTAGGCTAGACAGCTAGAAGGTAGTTCAAGTGGGTTCTGTGGTCATGGAGTCTTCATTAGGAATTGGGCTCCCCGAGGACCCAGCTGAGAAAGTTGCTGATTAACTGGGTTTCAGTTTCCCCCATTGGTCACATGGAGGGTCATGGGTCTGGCCCCTCCTACCCAGGTTGGTGTAAAGTCCTTGGTGACTGGTTGTTCGTTGTTTTCAGTTATCCTAAAGTGGTTGTTTTGGTTTTTTATTAGATGTTTTATATTTTAACTTAAACTTAATATTCTAATATCACTTCAGATGATGGAAATTTGCTTAGTAGCTGTTCTCATTTAAATTAAAATAATTTCAGGGCATAAAATACCATAACATATTACAGTCACTCCCTTTGAATTCCCATTAGGATTCTTTGTTCATTCATTTTCATTTACTTTTCCTAATAAAAAGTAATTGGATTTGTACCCAATTCTACTTCTCCCCACCCCCCATTTTTTTATTATTTCATTAAGTCTTTTTTCAGATTCTTTTGATATTCTCATAATTGTCCATCTTAATTGCATTGTGGTATATTCCATCACATTAGCACCACAGTTTCACCAATGAGATACTTAGGTTGCTGCTAGGTCTTTTTGTTTGGTTGGTTTTTTGCAATCACATATAATGCTACTGTAAAAATCTTTGAACAGATAGCTTTTTTTTTAAATGACATTTTCCAACAATTATTTTTGTAATTTTTACTGCTTACTGCCAAGAATCCAAAAAGATTCTTGAAGTTTGCAGTTTCACCCTCAATCAATGAGTGTGACGGGTTTTCTACTGTCTTGCCAGCATTGGATTTGTTTGTTTTTAATTATTTTTCTAAGGTTCTTTTACAATCTAATGTGTAGATTATCTAGGCTTTTCTCTAATGACCCTTCTCATCCATCTGTTCTCTCCTTTCCTGTTTTTGTTAGCTTTTTGGTCAAAAACAAGGGTAGACCATAAAGTAAGGAGACTGGTTTTGCCTTTTGGTTTGTATACAGGCTCTGAAGATCATTCTAAATGAAGTCTTTCCCTCTGTGCTCCCCCCACCCCCAAATTGCACTTTAAGCAGTGGCAGCATTGTCATTAGAATGAATGTCTAGCTTCCTAAGGAGACTCATTTGGAGGCTATTAAAACAGTTCTCACATCAGTTGTTTTGAACCTGGTTGTATATATACAGGAATCAGACCCTGTGCTATCCTTTGTTTGTTGATCTCCAGGGCATCGTGCGGGCAATTCGAGATTACCAAGGTCCCCTGAAGGAGCATGAGGTCACCATCTTTGTTCGAAGGGGTGGTCCTAACTACCAGGAAGGCTTACGGGTGATGGGAGAAGTTGGTAAGGTTGAGGGTTCTGGCCCTTTTTCACTCTTACTTCTCAGCACCCCTTGAAACTTTCGATTTCATATGTTAGGTTTCCCCTTCCTTTTCCAGTATCCTTCTGCCTACACGTGAAATTCTGTGACTGCTTTCCTGTTGTTTCTTCCTTTCTCAACTTTCTTCCCCCACTCCAATTTTGTGCTAATTTTTGCCCTCTGTTCCTCTCCTACCCCAAAATGCCCATTTTTCCTTGGTCTGTCCTTCCATTTGTGACTAGGTTTGTTTGCTTTGTGTGAACTGATCCCTACTAAAAACACGTGTTGTAGGTGGCGAGCCCTCAGAGGGCAGGGAGGGGCCCTGCCTAAAATATGACCCTCCCAACTGGAAACAGACAGGCTTATGACAAACAGCATTATTCAATCCTAAACAAACCTACATTAAAAATACAACACTTTTTTTTTAATCCTGTTGAAAAGAAGAAATTAATGGCCCTCTTTCATTCAGTCAGTGTGACTGAGCACTTTACTGAGTGTAGGAGCTTCTGGGAAGGACCTTAAGGGGTTATTGCAACAGAAATAAACAAGGACCCTGCCAGCGTGGAGTTGATTGCTGTTGATTGGAGAGAGAAAAATAATCAGCCAGCAACATAATTAGGGAAAATTAAAACTGACTTTTCATGCTGTTCTGTCCCCTTTGCCCTTTTTCCTGCTCTCTACAAAAGAAAGAAGGAATACATTCCTCCCCCCAAGAATTGGTAACAGCTGGTTTTAATGTTGGTTTTTATTTGAGTAACTTACCAACTGATAAAAGTGGTAGATGGTCTCAAATGGGCTTGCTTAGAAATGTATCCAATGTAGGGCATTTCGGTAGAGTGAAACGAGTGAAGATTCCTGTTTACTAGCTGTGTGATCCTGTCACCTCCCTGAGCCTCAGTTTCCTTTCCTATAAGGTGGTGACAAGAACACCTGTGTAGTACCAACAACAACCTTCCTCCCCACCTCCCCCAAGGTTGTTGTGAATGCTAGTGCCAGTAAAGAGAGCACCTTGCAACCCTAAAAAGGACTATGTGAATATCAGCCTTTATTAATACGGCTGCCAGTTATAAGCTCTGTTATGGATAAGTTCTGGTCAATGTGGGAAGAAAGATCCTCATGAAATTAGGCATGACTCTTATTTTTTTTTCTCTTTCTCTCTTCCCTCACTCCAGGGAAAACCACTGGGATCCCCATCCATGTCTTTGGCACCGAGACTCACATGACTGCCATTGTGGGCATGGCCCTAGGATACCGGCCCATTCCAAACCAGCCTCCCACTGCTGCCCACACGGCCAACTTCCTCCTCAATGCCAGTGGCAGCTCTTCGGTAGATAACAGTTTTCTCTTCCTTCTTTTACCCTATGCTTGTTTTCCTCTGGGCCATCTCTAGTCATACTGATGAATATCTGGCCACTGGACCCAGATGGCTCTGGAGTAGAAAGTAAGGCTGGTGACCTTGCACAGCCCTCCCTCACACAATCAAAGGCAAATCATGTCATCATCTCCCTGAGGTCATGGTCTTCTTCCAGAATGAAGGACAAACACAAATAGTAACTGTTTCTCTTTTGACCAGCAACCTTGAGGGTCTTCCCCTCCCAGTTTTTTTTTTTTTTTATTAAAGGGGTCATCCCTTGACTCACTTCTTAAAGAGGTCTATTCACTGAATGGATGTTACCTCACTTAAAAGTGAGAATCTGAAAAGACCTTAGCTTAAAAGGGCCAGTGTCTTCCTTTGCATCCTAGGCCATCTCCAGTCCTTCTGATGAATATCTGGCCACTGGACCTAGATGGCTTTGGAGGAGAAAAGGAGGCTGGTGACTTTGCAGAGCTCTCCCTTACTCAAATCAAAGTCAGTTGCAAGTCATGTCATCACCTCCCTGATGTCATGGTCCTCTTCCAGAACGAAGGACAAACACAACGTAACAGCTTGTTTTCCTCCTAACTCTTTTAACAGGCAAGGGAGAATAAAAAGAATAGGGTAGAATGCATTCTGATTTCCTTAGGGCTGGGGCCTAACTGGTTTTTTTTTTCCAGGTAGTCTTTACTTCCTGATTTTTTTTCAGGGGGCACTTCATGGGACAGCAATGACTTTGAGGTAACCCAGATTTCCTCTCTCCCACCAGACGCCAGCCCCCAGCAGGACGGCATCTTTTTCTGAATCCAAGGCTGATGATGTGGCACCTGCAAAGAAGGCCAAACCAGCTGCAACCCAAGGTAGACTGTCTTAGTGGTGAGGAGCCTCTGAGGCCTTCCCTGTTTCCTGCCCTGGTTTGTTATCTGAGTAAAGAGGAAGAAAAAGTCGTTTGGATGTTGATGTGGGGGAGGGAACTGGAAAAAAAGGATGACGTTTACTGTGGATAAGGGATGATTGTGGCCTTTAAAACTGATTTTACTGAAGGTTTAAGGTCCAGAGCTGTCTAGGATAGTTCTTTTTCACTCATCATACCCTTTAGTATCCCCCCCTTCCTTGTTCTGTGCTGAAGGGAGGAACGCATGAAGGTGATGACAGGAGGAGACGAGGTTGCAGAAATGCCAGAATGAGTCGAAAATATAAATCAGAATTCCTCTTTGACTCTCTTCTCTTTCCCACGTGGAAAACAGAGAGCTGGCTCCCTGATTTTGATTCTTGCCACTTGTGTGAGTTTCCCATCTCAGACTTGCCCTAATTTAAATAATTTTGTTTTTGGGTGGGAGGTGGGATGTCCAGGATTTCTGGTGTGGCTTGCTCTGAGGACGGGTCTCGGTAAGGTGGCAGCCTCCAGAGAGGTCAATGTCAGCCTTGCTCACCTTTCTTAAATGATTCATTCTCTGACTGCTCATCCTAGCCCAGGTGATAGGGAAGGATGAAGGAAGGAAGGACCACCAACGTTCTGCTCACACCTGAGTGAGTCCTTTTCAAAGCCCAGCTTGCACTGTCCTCTTCCCTTCCCTTATTTATTCTGAGTTGGAGTTGGAGAGGTTTTTGCCCCTCCTTAGTCCCTTTCCCATATATTTCCTACCATCTTGCTGTAGTCTGAGTGGACAAGATGGCAGTGGTATAATTGGAAGCCTTTTTTTTCCTTGACCCTCCAGTACTATGCACTTATCTTTGGACTCTTTGGAGTCTTCTGTGGGTCACTCAGTTGCCTTGGTAATTCTCTTTGACAGATTCAGTCCCAAGTCCAAGATCCCCGAAAGGTAGGATGCCCATTGCTAGCTAAATGTGTGGCCTTGTTAGTGGTTGATCATTTTGCTGTGTGCTTTTTTTTCCTCTCTCTCTCTGGTGGGTTTGTAGTGTTGTCTGGAATCTCTCCTGTCTTTTACTCTCCTCCTTGAGTCCTGTTTTTCTTCTTCCTCACTCAGCATGTTAACACACTACTATTCTAACTGGGTGACTGACCAGGGCAGAGCCTGGTTGGGGTGGAGTTGGGTGAGCGGCAGAAGAGGAGGAGGAGGAGAGGGTTTGGAGGTTGGAGACTGAGAATCAGGGAGATGAAAGCAGTTTTTGCTAAAGGGAGAAGGGAGCCTGAGATGATGGTTTTGTGTCTTTCCTTCCTCTATGTATAGGAAAGGATTGGGAGGTAGAGAAATAAGGTCATCATGGTAGCTGAGAAATTCATCCAGCTCCCTCTTAACGTGTGTTCTTTTTTTTTTTATTATTTTATTTTTTATTTTATTTTATTTTATTTTTTTAACGTGTATTCTTTGGAGGAAGTGGGGAGCCTGGTTAAGGTTCTACTATGAAATTCATAGTGATGTCCAATGCTCATTCATAGCCAAAATGACCACGTCTCCCACTCTTCTTGTCTCTACCTTCCCCTATCCTCCATCCCCTCAACCTGGTTTTTTAGCTCTCCCGAGGAGCAATAGGGATGTGCTTGGATTTTGTTCATTTCCCTGTCCTTGGGAGTAGGAACTGAGAAGGGAAAATGTTCTGGAGGCAGGTCAAGTCCTAAGTACCCTGGTTGATACGTAAATTGGATAATTGAGAGTTGTCTATAATTTTTTTGTGTGTTCACATCATCAAGATCACCCTAGTTAGGAGGACCATATCAGGATCACCTTAGATAGGATAGTTGGGGTGACATAGAAAGCAGGTTTGGCTATTGGGTCACTCTGGCTTTAGGATACAAAACATGTGATTAGAAAGATGACATTTGTGGGATCCCTGAGAAACCTCCAGATAATACCGACGAGCAGGGTTTCCCCAGAGAAAATAATCCAAATGGATATATTATTAAATTCAAATCATAATACCTATAAGTTGTAGGCCTGGATCCCTACTAAAGCATATGGGGCCCCTGCCCTTCACTCACAAAGCTTATAGATAGAACCAGAGAAAAAAAATCACTAACTGGTTCCTGGAACCTTTGCTAAAATAAAATCTTTCAAAATTAAAATAAATCGTTCTTATTTCCCAGCTTCCCCTTTGTTTCTGTCCTGTCTCCTGCTAAGTTTTGAGCATGGTAGGCAAGGAAGAAGGGCTGGAGCAGAGCAGACGTTGGTCTTTGGGCAGGCTCAGTGGTGAGCGAGCCATTTTCTCCTAGGTTTGTCTACCTGCAAGTGGAGCTGGAAGTTCAGGCTGCGTAGTCATGGCTTCATCCCTCTGGCCACCTTTTGGGCCTGTTACCTCTCTGATCACAGTGCTGATGCTTGAGCCTTCAGTGACCCCCTCTCACTCCCCTCCCCAATCTTTCCATACAAATCCATGTGAACCTCAACTTGGCGCTGTCCATACCAGCTTCCAAGGCCACTGGGGCAGGGATTGTTTTCAGCCAACATATAGACTCTGCTCCCATTAAAGTTGGAAATGGGGTGTGATTGAGGAGCATTTTCTGGGACTTCTGCTTTCCTTTAACCCCTTAGGAGACCAAGTTTGTTTTGTGTGTATAGATGCCCAGGGCACAGCTAGGGAGATTTTTTTTTTTTTAAATAAAGAGAATGTGGGGAATCCTAGCTTCCTAGGACCCTCCATCCCCAAGGGGTCTGAAAGTCCCACTGAGTTTGAGGGAGCAAGGTGAAGAGCCCAAGCATGGCTGGTGACAGTGGTATTTTTTCTCACTTGCATGCCTTACATTTTGTAAGTTGTTACTAGTTTAGGCTTATCCCTCTGATACTCTCTCACTTCCCCATATGGGCCTTAGTCTCCTCATCTCTAGAATGAGCAGAGGTGGGACCCAATGATCTCCTGTGTCCCTTCTGGCTCTAAAGTTCTTTGTAACTGATCTGGCTCTGGTCCCATGTGGCAGTTCCTGCTGGATTCCTGCTATAACTAGGACAAATGAATTTGTTGCCTGAAGAAATAGAAGAGAGTGTTTTTTGTTTGGGAGTTAGAGCTAGGATTTAGAAGTCTAGGGAATCTCTTTCCTTTGCATGCAGAACTGATGTCTGCTCTTCAGTCTTATCTCAGAGTGTTGTCTATAATCCTGAGAGAGGTAAAATGACTTGTCCAGGGTCATATAGCCAGTATGTGTCAGAAGCAGGACTTGAAGGTGTTGTGACTCTGAGGTTGGCTCAGGGTGTCTGTAACCACAACATTTCTCTCAAGAGAGTTATAGTGTATGAGGTATGATTATAAAGACATATATCTAGGGGCAGCTAAGAGGCACAGTGGATAGAAGACCAACTCTGGGGTCAGGGGGAAGTGAGTTCAGATTTGGCCTCAGACACTTACTAGCTATGTGACCCTGGGCAAGTCACTTAACCCCGACTGCCTCAAGGACAAGAAAGAAAGAAAGAGAGGAGAGAGAGAAGGAAAGAAAAGAAATACATCCTGTTGCTGGCTGGCTGCCTGCCTGATCCCTTTATCTCTAGGGAAACAGGTTGATATTCCACTTCTCCAAGGCAGGGTTGCAGAGATGTCAAGAGGTGAGGTTGATGCTGCCTTTCATACCTCATTTATCACGTATCACAGATCTTGCTATCATTTTATAGATGAGGAACCTGAGGCCTATAGAGGTTAAGTATCTTGGGCCAGACCACACAGGTAGTAAGTAGCCTTGGTGAGATTGAAATTCAAGTCTGGTGGCTTGCACCCTGACCACTGCACCCACATTTCTTGGGTCTCTTTTATTACAGTAGATTAAGATCAGATTCATCTAAATGGTAGCAGTCCTTGTTCCCCCCTAGAACCTCCCCCCAATCCCCTGTCCTACCCGCATGAAGAGCGACTCTCTCAGGGCATATGTGTACACGTCCACATACCCGTACTCTATTGCCATGCCTCTGGTGGAATGAGGTGGTAACCAGCTCCCCTTTCTGCTAGTCGTGTTGCTAGAGGAGAAATGAGAGAGCAAAAAGGATGTTTTTTAGGGCTCATGTTCCCTCCCTTCTGCCCCTTCTCTTCCTGCTTACCTACTGAGGACCCCTCAGGGAGCATGTGGTGGTGGCCCAGTGGTTATAGTGAACCCTCCAGAAAGTGGTGGAAAGAAGGGGAATGGGAACAGGTAGAGACACGCCCCGAGGGTTAATTGCCCTCGCAACAAATGGCTTCCCCCTTTTTTTTTGACCGAATCCCCAGTAACTCGATAGTGATGGTAGGGATTCTGCATAGTCTAGTATGGTAATGCCCATTATCTTGAATTCTGAGAAGACATAACTTGAACTACGTGGAAGTAATTTTTGTTTTAAATTAGGAGTTTTTTTTCCACATTAGGAGGAAGGGCAAGATTTGCCATGCCAGTTATATAAACAAAGTAGGGAGGATCAGTGTTTAACCAAAGAAAGCAAACTTTTAGAATCAACATCCCATTGGCAAATACACATAATTCAACAAATATAAATGATTCTTATCGCTTCAGTCAAGCAGGTCCAGCAGGATTTAGCAATACTTTCCCACTGTTCCAGTTACTGGTTGTGCTTGAAAGTAATAACCCTCAGGTTTTAGAAGATTATTTATATTCAGACCATTCAGGAATTCAGGCTGGCTTCAGGTTAATGAGGTTTTAGTAGAACATTAGTCAAGTTCGACTATTAATACATTATCTCAGCATCTCTCTGAGATGTTGATAGCTCTCCCTTCTTCCCTCTCCCCCTCTACTCCCAAAAGAACCCACTTAGATTCTGAGTCCAGGGGCGGAGGGTGGGAGCCCTAGTGATCCAGGCCCTTGTACTCTGTCCTGTTCTCCTCTCTGCCACTGTAGGAAAGGCCACAACCCTTTTCAGCCGACACACTAAGGCGATCGTTTGGGGCATGCAGACACGCGCTGTGCAGGGCATGCTCGACTTCGACTACATCTGTTCCCGTGATGAGCCCTCAGTGGCTGCCATGGTCTATCCTTTCACGTGAGTCACCCCATTAGGAAGGCCTAAAACAGACCTGGAGTGGAGTGGGAAGATGATGGTGGTGA